CCCCGCAGGTCACAAGAACATTAAGAACAACCCTTTGATTCCGAACAAACCATTTCGTGCATGAGCACCATGCTCGTCTGCAACGAGACTTTCTCCGGGAATTCTCAAACTTTAGTCATCTTTTCACAGTCCTGTCTGTCAATATATGGTTTACAGAAAATATAATTAAAAATATACATCCAAAGTAGCGCTAGCACAGTGCAATGAAAATATTGAAATCAAACTGCGATTTGCCCAACAACGATGAATTATTATGATGTAACAAGAGAGAAAGAAATTATTAATGGTTTCATGTTATATATAATTGTTTTTTTTTTCTCTATCTGTGCAGAAGCTGATCCACGGCAATACTTCCTTCGGTAGCATAAACACAAAGCATCATGGAGATGAAATCTTCTGAAAGGTAAATTTTATCATAAAAATCCAAATTCCGCGATTTTATCGGGAAGCGGAGGAGGAAACGGGGCTCCGAATGCTTTATTTTTCCTTTCGGTACGTCCAAAAATACGGTCTAAAAATGTCCCAGGGAAACACCTGCTAGGCCCGTAGAAACGTTTTGTTAAACAACAAAAGTGCACAAGAGACAATAATTTGGAGAAAATTTGGAGTTCAAGATTCTTCCTTGATGCAGTGGCAGTTTTATTCTCCCATGCCAAGGAAGAACGTCGTATGAGCCATTAGGCGTTGCCAAATTTCCCTCCAAAAAACGAATTTTCAGGGAAATTCGTGAATATCTCTCCTTGAATTTTTTAGAGGATTTTTTTCGAAATTTCATCTAAAAATCTGGAAATTTTAAGGAAAAATATTCATAACTTTCTTCAAAAATTGATATTTTCAAAAAGGAAATTTGGCAAAATTTTTATGCTCATACAGCGTTTTTCCTTAGCACAGCAGTATTGATCTCTGCCCATACGTGTCTATCATACGTGTCGATCATACGTGTCTATCCGTGATACCGCAAGTTCGTCTATGCTATAATGACGTACTGCAAATAATAATGTTTTCGAGCAGGTGTGTTAACAGAGCCATACCGACAAGTTTTCGAGAGTCGAAGTTTTCAATACATAGAAAGTATCTAGAGGGTAATTTTGTGTTGGGGTTAGACTATTTTATTTACATATAAGATGAGAGCTGATATTTTTTTGACAATTGTGAATAATTCTGGAAAAATATCGTTTCACTTTATTGAATTTCTTTTTATAATTAAGAACTGGTAGAAAATGAGTAATTTTTTTTCTGAGCCTACCAAATAAGCATAATGCAGAGAGAATATACGATGAAGTGAAAATATGCATACAAATCAATCCATAATAATTGCCGAAGGGTAAAAAAAGGAATAAAATCCCTCTTTGGGATCTTAGCTCTTTTAGAATTAGTATGACAAAAACCCGGTTCTGTCGCAATAAAGAATTTTTTAAAATCGTATTTTATCCAGCATACGTGACCGTCCATGAGAAACGAGATCTGAGACCATTGAAACTCAAAATTAAGGTAGAGGTAGGGTAGGAAGGAATTTTCTACGAATATTTTGCAACAAAAAACCGCCAACAGTGCAAAATCAAACCGGGACTATGGCTGTTTGATGTTCGTAGTTCAAAGAATGTAATTTCAAGAAAAAGCTAGTTCAAATTCTATACTTTCCTATGTTTAGGGCAAAAATTTTCCGGATTGTAATGTATTTACAACAATTTTTACACTTCCCCTCTACTCTTCTACCCCCACCGCTACCCTTCTACTAGAACAAAATTGAACTTTACTCCTCGCAACTTATTCTCAAAGAAACGAGAGGAGAGAGGAGGGGAGATTTACCTGTCCAAATTTCAACATCACATTTTTCGACTAACTCGACAAATTACGCTCTACCAAAAATTTTTCTCCTTAGACTGTGAGGCACCTTTTTCCATGCGGACGGTCAAAGATGTTTCTGTTCATTATTTCCTGATTTATTGAATGAATTGTTTATTTTTTGCAGTGCCTCCAACGTGACTCAAGTCATGACAAGAAGTCAACAGGAGAAAGTATTTCCTCCCCGTCAGTTCAAACACGCAACATCGTAAGTATTAAGAATTCCAATCGACATAATATTTGAATTTATGAATATGTAGGTACAACCCATAAGGTTATAAGATACAGCAACTCTATAAATCTTATAAATATATTATAGGAATTAGAGAAAAGATTGCCTGCCACTTTTAATCGCCAGTGAGCAATTTTTAAAGGATTATTTTAAACAATCGATCTTCTCTGTTGAAAATCATTAACATGAAAAGGGAAAAAATCCGTAATGTCAATAGTGATCTGAGGTCTGAGACCCATAATAATTACGAAATCCGTGCGCCCATATCAATCATGTCAAAATGGAGATAGTTCCTTTTGATTTAAAAACGTAGAAATTGCGATCCAACTGAAAAATCATCAAAGGCTTTCCAGCGTGCAGCTGAACGATGCTATATGTACATGAGAGGGTTGAAGGATCATTCATGACCTCTCGATTTGATCACGATTTGGACACCGTAACAAACCTCTCAATGAAGAGGGTATTCAGGCTGAACTTAACAGTCCTTATACCTACTCAAAGCATCATTTAAGGGCTTAATTTATTGCGAGCAAACTCTCACCCGGGAACGGTTGTAAACCTTCACCTTTAAATGAAAAAATTAAACACTAAAAAGTGGCCCGAACTGTATGTAACAAGGTGGAGAAATAGTGCTGGGTCAACACCATTTCGCGGGGAAACAAAGCCAAGAAATACCAAAAAATAAAATTAGAGTCAAAAATAAATTTTTAGAACCCTAATTTTTAGAGTTCTAAAAATGTATTTTTGATTTTAATTTTTGGTATTTCTTGGCTTTGTTTCCCCGCGAAATGGTGTGGACCCAGCACCATTTCTCCACCTTCACCTTTAATAATAATTAATCGCTGATTCGAATGATCACTGGTTTGCATCTTTGAAAATTTATGTGTGGGTCCAAATCAAAGCTCCATATAAAAAAAGGGTAACCAGCGGAACTAAGCACTAACACTCGTTTTCCTTGTTTTGTTTCAGAGATTTCGAAACGTTTCTGCACATAGTAAAAAGTTCACTAGGCTCTGGCCTACTAGCGACACCGGATGCCTTCAAAAATGCAGGTATCGGCCTGGGATTGGTTGGTATGGCCGTAGCTGTTCTGGTGATCACTCATGCTACCTCAATTTTAGTAAGCATCCTCTCGTCTCCCTTCAAACTTCCTTACCCAATTAGCATTTCTCATCGGAAAAATCGCTATATATTGCGATTTTATCGGCAATAAAATCACCAGGATCATCAACATCTGAGCAATTATCCTCGATCTTAACGCGATATGATCGCGGCTTTATCGCCCGACAATTTATCGCGATATTTTCGAAATAAAAATCGCGATAAATGGCGATTTTATCTCGATTATATCGACAAAAATTGATCACGATTTTATCGAACCAAAAATTGCGATTTGTTGCAATTTAATCGCCATGTATCGCGATTTTTAATGCGATAATATCTCGATATGTTGCCACCGATACAATCGCGATAACCAACCGATAAAATCGCTATTATCGCGATCTCTGCTACTTGGGTAATTCATGCTTATAAGAAGTGCCACCGGAGTAGAGTAACTACGCATTTATCACACACAATATCTGTGAACATTCAAATAAAATATTCATATACCAACGATAAATTCTAGGTTTATAAAAAAAGAGGCAGCATTGCAAGGTTCCTACGGGTTTTTTCTCTGTAACCGCAGCCTGTGGACGCGCAACTAATACTGCTCCGTGGATGTGCGTGTTGCATGCGCATGAATTGAAGGCATTCTGGCTGCCATGCCATAACACAAAATTCTTCTTTTTCGTTTATGTTATCAGACCACAGCTTCATTAATATGATAATGTGCCTGTATATGACGTCATCACATTTATGATCTTTGAATTTAATTTCCAGGTTAGGAGTTCTCAAGCAATATGTTGCACGCTGCAAAAACCACATTTAACGTATGCTGATACAGCAGAATATGCCTTTGAATATGGCAACATTCCTGCAGTCAGACCGTATGCCGGCTTTGCGAGGTATTTTTGATTTGTCTCCATTCATTTAATTGTATCCTAATTTAAAAAAATTTGCCGGAAGGTGGAAAGAAGGAGAGTTAACTGTACCTCGGTTTCGAGGAGTAAAATTCTGTTTTATTCATGATATTCTTTACATTCATTTCTCTAATTTCATACATTTTTATCAAAGATTTGTTAGATGCCGTTTTTTTTTAAATTCTATTTCCTTTTAATAGTGATGAAATCCTCTTCAAGTTTCAATCAAATTCAACTGAATTGTAGTAAATTTGAACTAAATATTCCTATAATTATTCACAATATAATCATCTCGGTTTTTGAATGGTCGGAGAGCAAGTAGTTCCCTGCCTCCGCGACCAACCGAGATCCCCATGAAGTCAGGGAATCTTCAAACAAAAACGCTCTTCTCACGTCAAATCTCAAGGACTCATTTTTTGCAAGGAAAAAAGTTCTGCTAAGCTGTCGCGAATAAGTATTTCCTCTTATCAATACTATTGTCTCTCGTTTTGTTTTTTTTTCCAGGAAGTTTGTAAAAGTGTTCTCGGTAATTACGTATTACGGTGTAAATACAGTTTATGTAGTGTTAATAGCATCATCCGCAAAACAGGTAAATCAACACAATCTAATCTATTTCTGTGTGATTTTTTTTGGCTCTGAATGAGCACGCTCCCTGGCCGCTTTGACCCCTAAACCTGCATTTTTTTATGCGTGAGCAAAAATAAAAGGAATAACTTATTTGAACGAGCTTTAAGTTATTTAAGAAAATTTCGGATGCAATTCGCTGGAAAAATCCATCATTGGTAGGAACAGCTCGTTATGCAAAACAATGATAATAGAGGCCACTATTTATTGTTTCTGTGCGTCTTTTTTCTTCTTTTTTTTTTCTTCTAACTACGCTCTTCTTTTCTTGTCATGTTTCTACAATGTGAAGATCTCCATGTATTATCTAATCTGCATTTAAAAACGAAGCACGACCATTAGAGTTTTTTACCTCTTCTGTTAAAATTAGCTCGCTGCAAAGAAGGTGCGAATTTTTCAAGCGTCCAAAACAATAGTAGCGGGTACCCAGAAAATTGAAACGTTTCAAGGTTTACTGCTTAAATTTTTGTAAACAAGTCTGAAAACAAAGGAGAGGCATTAAAATGAATTAGACTTTCAATCAATTTTAAGTGACTCAGTCTGCCTCGATCAATTTTGATTGTTTAAACCAATTGCTCGACTTTTTGGTTAATTTTCATCATTTGACGAATGAGGCCGCTTATTTCCGATCTAAACTTTTACACAATAGAAAAGGTAGCATTACTGTCTCTGCATTCGCACAATTGACCATTCGCAAAAAATTAAACATTTTACACTGCACTGGCCGGCTACTATTGTTTTTTCTTCCCTAACAAAAAAGGAAACACAAAAAACAAAGAAACATTTCAGATTGATGCTGAAGTGTGGTAATTGACTTTTGCCTTTCATTTTTTAGGGACAATTTTTCTGATTCTTTGAACCTCACACCTCCAACTCAGCGGACATCCGTAAACCTCTCTTTAAATTAATGTTTTGTTACAGGGAACGAAAAAAATATAAAAAATGTCCCAGTGTTTTCAGTTTTCATTTCTTTCGCCTATTTTTCAAAATACAGACGTTTTCAGCCCTATGATACGGGTGCTTGACAAGAGTAATCAATTTTTTGTCTATTAAGTATAACATTTGATTTGGTGAATTTACGCCCCTCTACCTGATACCGTTTATAATGCCTTTTCTTGCAACTAATATGATGCACTCATTATCCAGTGTTTACTTTAATGATTAGACGATATCATTTTCAGCTCATAGAGAACCATATAGAATGGTCTTTGAACATCCGGTGGTATATTCTTCTAGTACTCGTGTTGATACTACCATTGGGAATCATTAAGCTCATGAAGTTCTTGGCGCCCTTCTCTGCCATAGCGAACGTATGTCTCTTCGTCGGTCTAGGAATCATTCTCTTCAAAATCATGGACGATCTTCCACCTCTTTCCGAGCGACCTTTTGTTGCTCCCATCGAGAAAGTCCCTCTATTCTTTGCCACCATGTTATTTGGACTAGAGGGTATCGGAACTGTAAGTATCTTTTCATTCGCTTTCAACTTTATGTGTATTTATTTTTTAACCTTAGCTTATTGGATCAATATTTTTCCCAGTTTTGTGAGTACTTTTTTTACTATCGTGGAAAAATTAACAAGAAATAGACGTTATTATACAAGAATTAGAAGACGTTATGTTCAAGAAAGACACGATTTAAGGTTCATGCCTAAAATGAATTTTAAGCCATAGTGTTACTTCCTTCTTTATTCATAAACTATTGTATATAATTAAAGTAAAATCTAGGAAAATGTTTACCAGAACACCCAGTTTTGAATAATTCATTGTTTATTTTCATGTTACTTTCTTGGATGCATTTCGGCATCATTAGATGCCATCTTCAGCAAGAACAATATTTACGAAAAACAACACTGAAAACCATAACAAGGCACTAATCACAATGCAAATTAAAAAAATAAAAAATGCTTAGGAGGAACAATGAAACAAATTTCAAACGCTTTTGAAATAAAGGAGAGAGAATGGACCGTTCGAACTGAACATGTGCTCTGGTAAATATTTTCCTACATTTTATTTTAATTTTAATAACAACACGCGAAATGCGATTCTCTAGTTATTGCATAGGTATAGGTGCGTACAGTTTGGAACAACGCAAACATGATTCGGTTTTTTTACAGTTTCTTCGTGAATATCGACGATGAAACTACCAAACCACGTATCTCGTTTGCGGTGTTTAAAAATCTACGCTCACATTTTATTTTTTTGAAGTAGACCAAATCAATATCATTCCTTGAAATTTTCACGGAATTTTCTCCGCACAAAGAGGAAAAATCACAGAAATTTCCAAGACTGGATGTTAAGTAGTTTTTCATTTAAAAAATAAAGTATGACAGAAAGTCTGCGACGTCGCAAACCGAGATACGTGGTTTGGTAGTTTCACCGTCGATATGTACAATAGTATAGGAGATGAAACATGGATGTAAATTGTACACCCGTGGAAGGAAGGAGTATTATCGTTGTTGCTAATTTTGTTGAATTGTCAGGTCTTACCAGTTGAAAATGAAATGAAAAATCCCGATCATTTCCTAGGATGGACCGGGGTGTTGAGCGTGTCCATGTTCTTCATCGGCCTCGTCAATGCCATCGTCGGGCTCTTCGGCTACTGGAAGTACGGCGATGCTGTGTGCGGCAGCATCTCATTGAACATGGAGCAAGACTGGTACGTCATCATGGTACATATCTCATCACCACTTCACCACTCGTATTCATAGCTCTAAATAACGCAAACCGAGGTTACTACCGTGCAACGCAAAAACGCCGTAAACGCCATTTTACATTTTTTGGAGACAACGTATCATAGAAGAAACACATGTATACCTTGGGGCAATGTTTATCCAAAATTCTTTCGCGAATATAACAAGAACTTAACCTGAAAATTTGAGGTGCATGGGTGAAACAGTTTTCATTTCATAAAAAGTAAAGTTCCAAAAAACGCAGGAAAATCTTGATGGATGTAAATCCATCAAGATCTGTTGCGATTGGGGTGTGATGTCATGTCGTGATTATGGATTTGTTAAGCTTTAGACGGACTAAAACATCTAAAACCCTAATCGTGGCGGTTAAGGTACACTTGGGAGAGCAAGAAAAATAGACGAAAGAGTTTTTGAGTGACGTATTATTCGCGTGTATTAAAGGAATGGAATCGTTACATAGGATTGACTATCGGAGCACCTATGGAAGGCTGTGCTTGGTGGTCAGCTTCGTGGTGGAAATCGAAGTGCCGAGACAAGTGGAGCTCGGTCCTTAGAGAGCCGTATCTTTCAATCCATCTCGTGACGCTGGTAATAAAAAATATAATAAAGATAGATGCGTACGACTTGATCACAGCAACGAGTAAGTGAAGCTTGCTCGATTCTAGGTTTTGCAAATTCATAGAGAGAGACCGAAAATATGGGAAAAAGGGAGATAGAGAACCTCTATGAATAAACGCGTTGCGGTACACGCGACAACGGCGTTCTTGCCTAGCACGGCAGGTTACCTTACCTAAAAAGCACAAGGCAACGAAAATATTGAAATAATACTGCGATTTATTGCAATAAAATTGCAATATTTTTACATCATTTCATCAATAAATACCGATTTCAATCAATCATAAAAATGAGCTCCATGTGTCAGAAAGATAGCAATATGCAATACAATGAAAAATTGCAACTTGTTTTGATTTTAGTGCAATGAATTTCCAAAAGAATTGCTCCTTCGATCAGTAGATAGGCAACATACACAACACTCCGATGAATTAGCAATTGTAGTTGCAATTGCAATCTGTGCTATTTGGGATATTCGGAGTTTCAATAGAAAACCTGTCTGTTTTTTCTATTCAGCGGGCCGATTATTAAAATTGATAGACAAAGTTATAGACAAAGAAGATAAAACGGATATGGAGTAAGTTGAGACCCTATTGATGGAAATGGGTGGTTGCAATGGACAAATGAGGTTGGTAAGTAACTGGCGGCTACCCACGAGTGACCCTATAATCAGTCTATAATTTTCTCCCATAGTCTATAGGAACCACCCATTTCAACCAATAGGATCGCTTCATTCTCCCTATGTATTCTTAGTCTATTGTGTTGTCTATCAATTTAAACAATCAGCCCGCTTTGGACCACTCGGGCTATTGGGACCCGAGTGGTCATACCCACATGGTAAATATATTTCTTCTATCCTAATACTATCCGTTCCTTAATTTTTCAGGCTCTCTGAATTAGTCAAATTCCTTATCGCAGTGGCTATTTTGTTCACATATGGCCTCCAGATGACGGTAACCTCTGAAGTTGTTTGGGATAGTGTACAGGATTATTTTCATAAGGACAATTCAAAAGTAGCTTATTATTGCGTAAGAGCGTCCCTAGTCGTTGGCACAGGTAAATATAGTAATACTTATCATTATTATCATCATTATCACTATTTCCTTTATTCCTCATGAATTTCCATGAAATGAATTTCCATTTTCATGAAATTCCTCCACAGGGAGTGGTGACTGTGGTGAGTTAGGTGCGTAATGTACTGCCGTGCCAAGGAAGAACGCCTTATGAGACGTTGCCAAGTTTCCTCCGATAAAAACCGAAATTACTGGGAAAGTTGTGGATATCATTTGTCCAAAAATTTCAGACGATTTTGTAAGCGATTTAATCTAAACTATCTGAAAATTCCGAGGAAAAATATACATGCGTGTTGTCAAAAAGACGTGTTTTATCCAGGGAAATTCGGCAACTCTCGAATGTTCATACGGCCGCGGCGTTCTTCCTTAGCACGTGTAGACTCACATCAAATTGAGCGGTTTGCGTTCCGCCTTCAATCGGAGTGCATATACGAGCAACACTTTGACGTAGGCTTAAAAGCAGCTTCTAGATCGGAAGGCGCTCCCTCGGATGCCGCGTCGCAACAAAAGCGAAGCGCTCGAGGCACTTCTCTCGCGTCGCGTGAAGCGTCTCAAGCTACCACCAACGCACGTGCTTATAATTTTGATGGATAAATGGGTAAACATACGATAGATGTTTGGAATATCAATCTTTTAATAAGACCTTCATATTATTTACTCGAAAATGAAGCATGATTTATTTTGAAAACTTAGCATGATACTTTGTGCTCCTCTTTTCGTATGACCGAACTTTCAAGTTATTATTTCGCTCAACATGGAGTCCAATTCCCATTTATTTTGAGTAACCTAACTGCAGCTCCGCCATTTATTGGATCTCAGGCAGACTTACGAAATCTAAGATTACTGCATGAGGAATAGATAAAAAGTTACTCTCTCAGAAGGGCTTGTTCTATCAAATCAATACTCGCCGTTCCCAAGAATGCTTTATAAAACATTTTCTACCATTTACGTGAAATACAAATAAAATTAAATCGCATTAAATCGGTGATTAAGTAGCAAGAGAAAATTACGATTTACGAGCGGGTAAGGACCATGTAGTGCAACATTTCCTCGGCCACTAATAAAACCCTAATTACGTTACGTTGTTTTTTAAAAATCAAAACGCGGGCTGCAAGTATTGCTCAAACAAATTGCAAAATTGCGAAATTACTGTTGATTCTTCACTTTAAAATCGGTAAATTTAAATTACCAAGTCACATGAAAACCAGTATTATAGTCATATATCATATCATGAGGTAATCAAATATACACATTTGGAAACATTTCCTCGTCAAAAATCAGATAAAATCCCATAATCCAATCTGAAATGAAATAATACATTTGACGATATACCTAAGAATCAGCCTGCGGCAGAAATTGAAGCATTTAAGAGAATTGGATGAAGCGACATAGAATTGAGCCGATGAGTAATATTAAGAAAAATAAGAGGGTGGAAAGAAATAATGTGACGAAGAAAGAGATTAGAGATAGCACAGGTTTCAGCTCCCTTCAGAATCAAAACCAACCCTCACCAAAAAGTATGACAATTGACCAAGTTTAGCATGAAGGAAAGAACTTATTTTTACTTACTTAAGAAACAACATACCTGCCTCTGATTTCTCTCTATAGCTAGGTGCTTTCGTACACACTTTCGTGAGCTTGCTTGCTGGTTCTTTTCTGTCAAACTCGATCCAGTTTCTCTTTCTTCCGAGGTGAGACTCTCGGGCATCTTTAAACGCGACAAAATTGTTGAGCAATTGCCAAGAATCGAACTTATCGACAGACCTTGGCGGGTAAACAAAACATTACTGCGTAAATACTTGATTTTCAGTGGCGTGGCGTGAATTGCGATATATCGATTGATATGCCATTTAAACCTATGAAAAAAGATCGATTATCAGGGTGTTCGCAGCGAACACCTTAGTAATCGATTCTTTACCATAGCTTCAAATGGCGAGATATCGATAATCGATTATTCGAGCCACGCCACTGTTGATTTTAACGGTTCGCGCGGGAGCGTCTTCGGGTGTTTCGGAGAAATATTTTGCCGAGCAGAACTGGTCGAACACCTCTCGATCGGCGATTAGCCCGGGACCCGGGTCCAAGTATAATCTCAATCAAGGCTTCATCAGCTTATGTAATTCCGTCGAAGAATCCTCGACTAGCTTTATTATCCAGGGCGAAAAAGACGTCCGCGTCGCTTTGCATCCACCGGTAAGGAAAAACGCCGCATGAAAATTCGCACGTTGCTAAATTTCATCTTGTAAAATTGAGCCGAGTATTTCCCAAATCACGTGAGCGTCAGTCTCTATTTTGGTGGTAGAGAGACTTTTTTCTTCGTTTTCTCTGGTACAATCACGTTGCTAATTTCATCTCGTAAAATTGAACCGATTATTTCCCAAATCACGTGAGCGCCAATCTCTATTTTGATGCTAGAGAGGTTAGGGTGGAGCGTAAAAACATTTTCTTCGAAATCCGATGACGGCTAGTGAAAAAAAGGTGCCTTTTGGCACCAAATGGACGAGGAAAAAATCCTGGCTCAATAGGACAACGCTTTTACCGAAAACATGGGGCTCGAATTTTCAAAATCTCAAATTTTCGATTTTACCGTGTTTTTTTTTTTTTTTTTCTAGGATAATTTCTGAGCGATTGAAAAGACAGAACTGATACATACCACATATTTTTTTAGGTGATTTGAGTCAGAATCGATTGTAGGGTCGAAAAACCGATAAATCGATTTCAAATATAGATTTTTGCGATATTTTGCCGAAAAAAGCGAAAAATGAATATTTTAAGGGTGAAAATGTGGCAACGTTTGGATTCGTATATGGCGTTCTCCGTTAGCACGGGCTTATTGGTGGCACCAGCGGGGAGATGAAGACGGTATACGTCCTCTGTTTCTTGGAAAAAATTTAGCTACACGTTGGGAGGGGGGAGGGGGACGCCGAACCCCCTATCACAAGAGACAGGCGCTTCCTGAGGGCAAGAGATATCGCCGAAACATAACCGAGAATATGTTTAGACTCTACCCCTCTACCCTTCCCCCTCCCCCCCCAAAAGGGTGCTTATTGAGAAACTAGGGATCTTAGAGAGAGGAACCACAACAATCGATATTACATGACAGTAAAAATTAAAGATATCGTCCGACAAGGACTACTCATGGATAGAGTACCATTATAAGGAGAGTATGGTCCAAAGACAAGAGACCCTCCACTAGTATCTTGGCCATTAAGGGAAGCTTTGACTTTCGGGACTTCAGCATTCTACTGTTGACTTACCTACATGGTTGATGTTTAACAACGTGTTGGCAGTTTTGTTTTGCAAACAAGTCGAAAATGGCCGAAGTTTGCGAAACTTGTTTGGCTCATGACGTCACCCGAAGCTCATCATTGACCATGTAGGTAAGTCAACAGCCGAAATTAAGGTGATGACTGTTGCTCCCTAATAATTGTCCATAAGGAACTGTTGAATCCCCGAAAGTAAAATCTTCCACCTGTCGCTAGGAGGCTAGTGGAGGGTCTCTTGTCTCTGGTATGGTCACTGGGTCCGTGGAGACTCTTACGATACAGAAAAATGGCGCCGACTCTACGTCAAAGCAGGTGGGAGCGGGTGAAAAGGGGTGGTTGCCAACGCTTGAGGCTTGACGTTTATCAATTGGACTACATTTTGCAATATGGAACTATAAATTTTGGCTCATCTGAAAAAAACACTTATGTGCATAGAGAAACTAATGTCACATTCGTTGTTTTTAAACCAGGCCAGAAATTATAGTTCCAAATTGCAAAATGCAGCCCAATTGCTCCTCCTGTTACCAACCTTACCGTAATAGCGGTTCAGGTTAAAAAATATTTTTCTCAAATGCAATGGACAAAATGGACTGCATTTTGCAATTTGGAGCTATAAATTCTGGCTCATCTGAAAAAACACTTATGTGCATAGGGAAACTAATGGTACATACGTTGTTTTTAAACCGGTCCGGAATTTATAGGTCCAAATTGCAAAATGCAGTCCAAATGTGTTTCAAAACTGAATAAATACGCCTAGTGATGAGATTTTAGTAAAGCCTGTGGTGATGCAGGACAAAAAACCTCGTTATTTGCATCTTTGAATCGTCTACATGCAACTTACTCTACTTTCTTTTTGGTTTATTTTATTTTATTTTTTATTTTAAGTTGATTCTAAGAGAGCTATGAAGCCTAAGATTGCTGAACGAGTCGCGGGTGGATTCACCAGCGGTCCCCGCAACCAGTGGCGTGACATGATTCGCGACATATCGATTGATCTGTCATTTAAACATATGAAAAAGGATCGATAAATAGGGTGTTCGTACCGAACACCTTAATAATCGATTCTTTACCATGGCCTCAAATTGGGGAATATCGATTATCGATCATTCACGCCTCGCCATTGCCCGCAACTTTCAGAATTGAAGGAGAGACAAAAACCGAAGTAAGCGCAACGTGTATTTTCATGCATTCCCTGGTAAAAATTGGCAATAGAATCTGTGTTCCAAAATACCATAGACCTACAGCTGGCTGTAAGATTTCCAATAGCTTCTATAGCACGCAACACAATTTCTTATCGCCTTTTATAGCCGATGGCGATTAAGCGACAGCCTGACGATAAAGTGTATGCTAAACGTTACTAAGTACGGATGCTAGGACTTAGTGAGTTTTTGGACTACCACTCTCTTTTTGGGCCGTGGTATCTTGATTTATTTTGCGAGGAAAGCTTTGTACTTTTGGAGGATGCCTGCCATTCCTAACATGTTGGAGCGCCTGTAATTCCGTATGATATTGTGCAATACCTCTGGTGTGAAATAGTTGCTTCAAGCGCCGTGGTACGCTGCGGCGCGGCGGGCGGGCAGCCAGCCCGAAACGCGCATTGGCGCCTTCAAACCTAACAGGGATACTTCACGCATTGCGCAATGCGTGAAGTATACCTATTAGGTTTGTAGGCGCCAGTGCGTCGCCGCTCCGCTTTGTGTTAGGCTCTAATATTTAA